TCACCAACTTCCATAGCACAGAAATGTCTGTACACAAAATTTGAGAATTAGATCCATAGACGAAATATCCATCTAGTTATTCTGTTGATGCTTTCGTATTCTTTACCTCCAATTATGTTCAGGTTTTCAAAATCTGGTCCAAGTACCTGGCTTTCTAGAATCCCCAAGCACACATTGTCAAGAGGCTAAAATTAAAGGGCTCGCTAAGTATGTAGAAGTGTCTAACGAAGAACTAAACTCATTTATAATGATTTCCAACAGGTTCTTATGACGTACGCTGACTATAAGATAGTCTGTTGGTGATAGTTCGAAATAAACATTGTTTTTCCCCGTGAAGCTCAAATTTAGTGAGCTGAATGAGTACAGGAAATCCTGAGAAGATGCAAAGGGTCTCCAGCAGACAGGAAGATACGAATCCTCAACTGGTGCTGCTGTCTTCTCTGCCAACTCTTTCACCTGAAAAATAACTAGCAAACTAATTGAAACCAGTAAATATTATGCAGCAATCATTTTTTTGGGGGTCTCACCAGGGAAAGAACATCTTGGTATAATGTAGGACTGAAGTAATTGTAAGTAGTCCCACTGTCCAACAAAAAAAAAAAAAAAAAGCAATCCCGGAGCAAGAAGATTTCCATCATATCAGCAGGGCCAAGCATGTTATATGGTCTGCAAAATTTGTAATTTTTCTTTACTATTCCGTATTTTTTCAGTACTTCTTAGTGGAACAGATTTTGACATGTAGTACTAAATTTCCTTACTTGATGTGATCATTCGAAAATGGCATCCATATAGTTTCTGGTAAATTGGATTTAGAATCTCCAAGGACAAGATATCCAGGGTTAATTTCAGACAGGCAAAGGGCCATAACCTTCTTAATTAGACCTTGATCACTTAGCCGAGACAATATACTTGTTTTGCCAGTGCCAAGGCCTAGGACTCCATCTGTAAAAGGAGAAGAGAATGAATCATCAAATTCCTGATGGTATCCACACCTGCCAGCAAGAGGACCGTCGTGTGAGTACAAATAAGTACAATGACATTGAGAACTGTGTTACAATGAGATGTTTACTTAGCCAAAGATGAGAGTATGAGTAGATTGTGATGGATTTCTTTTTAAGGAAGAAGAGAACAAGAACACGTCCTTAACCAAAACGCCCAGAGTTGAACAGTGGTCTGCATATTCAACCTGATAATCACATTGCTGGTTTTGCTGACTACATTGTGGGTTTACAGGTTTTCCGACCAACCCACATACGGCATCATCCTCGCATGATACGAGATTGTTGCTGGTTGTGTAAGGATCATGAGGGGTTCGATATATGCCAAAAGGCTGCAAATATGGCCAAAGTCATTACATTTACCAGCTAGTTTTAGGATTGTGGGGTTTCGGTCC